GGAGAAAACCCACGCATGCACGGAGAGAACATGCAAACTCCACCCAGAAAGGCCCCTGGACCGGGGTTTGAACCAGGGACCTGCGCGCTGAGAGGCAGCAGCTCTACCAGTTGTGCCACCGTGCTGCCCACTTCATGGACATGTTTATGCAAAAAAGCAGGTAAACTACAAAGCTCTCATTTTGCTTCTGAGAGCGTTAGAAAATACAGCCGTCTTTACGAGCAGCTAGACAGTTGTTATTAAACAAAAAAAAATCGGTAAAATCAGTTTCTTGTGCAAGTATCGGACGATTTCTGATTTCCCAAAATTAAGGAAATCGAGGCCAATAAATCGGTGCACCCCTAATAACATACCAATTACTTGAACTCCTACCCTTCAGGCAAAGACTTACTTCTAACCCAGGAACAGCTTCTACCCTTACGCTGTTAGACTCATAAATCCCTAACCAGGATAATCACTGTAAGGAAAAAAAAAATCACTGTAATGCCACTTTAATTGGTGATATGTGACTTATCTGGGCTGCTGATTATCCATGCTGCTGATCTCATGCTGGTGATTATCTCATGCTGCTGTATTCATTCATACACATCTGCTCACCACAGACTCATGTTAGGGCTGCTGTTGTTATGCCATATTGTTTTACATTATTAGTGTTTAGCGTATATCTTGAGATCTTTTAGCGCACTGTTTGGCGTTCGTTTAGCGTCTATCTTAGTGTATATCTTAGATCCTTATATACTGTTTCTTTTACACTGTATATATATATTTTTTGCGTGTAACTGGGACCCTGTGTACATAATTTCATTCCACTTCATGTACAACATGGGATGTGAATGACAATAAACTTGACTTGAACTTGAACTTGAAGAAGGAGCCTTCCTCTTTTTTCTGTTAAGAGTCATGCCCTCGGACTTCAAGGAGGTGACTTTTATCTCAGCCACTTTACACTTGGCTGAAAACCACATTGTTGCACGCTAAAGGTCATGGCCTGAAGACACTAAATGAACCACATCATCTGCAAAAAGTAGTGGTGAGACGCTGAGGTTCCTATACCTCCACTTCACTACTGCACAATGAGTTCCTGTCCATGAACCCCACAAACAGGATCAGAGAAAAGGGGAGTCCAACCCACACACCAAAATCTTAATTTTGTGCCAGGTATGTGAACATAACCCTTACTTTGGTTATACATAAACTGGGTAACCCTAGAAGTGACCTGGGTACACTGCAACACCTACAGCACCCCCCACCGAATGCCTCAGGGAATATTGTTATAGGCTTCTCCAGATTCACCAAACTGCTGTCTAATATAACACTTTATTTTTTGTTCTAAATCAGCATCACTCTTTTAACAATGCGCTTGCTTCTCTTTTGTCTTTATCTCTGTAATTATGTGAGTCACTTTTCAGCTAAAGCTACATCTGTTGTTGCCTTGACAGCCTGACTGTGGGACGAGCCGTGATGTTTTCTTTTCCTCTCGTCCCCAGAACAGAGACATAGGAGGCGTCGTTTCAGTGAAAACATGAGTTTGGTGGATGTGAGGCAGACGGCCGGGTCCCTGACACTGCCCCTGTCCAGCATCAACTCCAAGGAATGCCACTTTGACCCAGAGAGCGACCCGGAGCACCACCTTCGCAGCAGGACCCTGTCACCGGATCTGAGGCAGGACTTCAGTATGATGGAGCAGAAGAAACGGGTCACCCAGATCCTGCAGAGTCCAGTACGTAGCCTGCAGCTCCGTAATACAGAGTACCCTCCTGCATAGCAGCTTTGAGCGTCTGTGAGGACGGAGCAGAGCTTTTAAAACAAAAGAAGCGCCGACTTCCTTGAAACAGAGAGTTTTTTAAACACGTTGCGCTCATTTTTTGGCATGATGTGTTTTCCAGTAATATTGCTCAGAGCTTTATTTTAGTGTGTAGATTGTGCTACGATGACATCACAAATCGTGCGTTTGCACTTAATTATTAGGTTGTACCTTAGGGAATAATGCCATTTGGCAGCAGACAATAATGTTTTCGTCCATGTCTGTGCGTGTTTTGTCTGTTACCAAAGTTTCTCATGAACCACTGGTTGAATTTTAATGAAACTTGCAGAAAGTGATCTTTGGACGTATCTGTTGCTGTCTGTTAGTAACGTTTCTCATGAACCACGTGATGGCTGCCACAGTTGAATGACTTGAATCCAAAAATGCTATATTCTTCTCAGTTTTATGGATATTGTGCTAACATGTGGTGTAGCTGAGAGTGATTCTAAGTGCTACTCATTGTGCAAGATCATTCCTTAAAATGTTAGCAATGACTCTAGGTGGTCAACACTGTTTGTCTGTTAGCAAAATATCTCATGAATCAGTGGATAGATTTTAATGAAACTTTCAGAAAGCAGTGATTAACTGTACATTTATAAGATTTTAACTTTTGGGGACATTACGATTCAAGTGAGCCACCACGGCTAATCAACATTAGCTCAGACAAAATTGGCTAGTTAATTTAACTACTACTAACTACTATTTAACTACTGAACTAGCATTTGTTGTGTTAGTCATTGTGACTCATTCTCAACATACAGTACTTGAGGCACTACCAGATTACGCAATGGGTGCGCTCACACATAACGTAATTTTCAAAAATTGTCCAAAACAGCTATACAGTAGCTCAACATGAACGACGACAGGCAATATGCATTTTGTCAAGCGATGCTAGGACTTTTTTTTAAATAGTATGACTGTGCTTGCTAAGAAATCAATTAGTCTTTCATACGTATTTAAATTTTAAAGTGATTTAAACACAGCAACCATTTAATGATTTGGTGTCCTTGTACACGAGTGTCTGGACATTAAGAATACGGTAATTGTCTATTTTACTCACAGTTCCTAACAGTTACATTTATTTTAATTATTGTGCTCAAATATCCCCTTCTTCCAGAATTGATGCAGGGGATTTAAATTTTTTTTTTTTTTTTTTGCTGAATGAGGTTTACTGTACTGCATTATTCTAACCTTACTAATTTTGGGCCACTTTAACACAAAGCAGCAGAGTTTGCGGGATAAGGAGGTGTAATGCACACATTCCAATGAAGTGCATGGAAATAAGACGAGCCCACACTCCTCTGCGATTGCATAACAGCCTCAACAAGTGAAACGCATCACCATGGAAACCGCAGGGCGATGAAGCAGAATGCCAGGGCTTTTAGCTGCAGTTTACAGGAAAACAGGGCTGTTTCAAGTTTCACAGGCTGGTCTCAAAGCAAAAATTGATAGTCAGCTTTTAATGCTCCCACCTCCTCTCATTCTCTGCTTTTAATGAAGCCCCCTTTTCATAGACACACAAAGAGTGTTTTATTAAGCCTTTGGCGATTTGTGTACAGTTGTAATAAGGAGAGTGTGAAAGCAAGCCGCGCTCCCGGACACATGCACAGGAGGTGTAGGAATGGGGTCGAGGTTGTGTATATATGCGTTACCAGGGCGACTCATGTCATGACCAATGTTTGTGCCCACTTTCTTTGTTTGCAGGTGTTTAAAGATGAGCTGGAGGGGCTGATCCAGGACCAGCTGACAAAGGGCAACAACCCCTCTGGCCTCCTGGCTCTGAGACAGATCGCTGACCTGGTCATGGCCAGCACCGTGGGAGGGGCTGGCCCCTTGACGTCTCCCATCAGTGAGTGGTAGCGTGTGCAGATGTATCCATCTTTGTCTCCTGTGGGGCCTGGTGTGTGTATCCTCTGGCTGTGTGCGTCACACAAACTGATTATCCTCATTGTTAGAGGTTGAATTCTTCGACACTTGTGACTCCGAGCAGCCCTGAAACTGCAGAAAAGGCAGAAAGTTGTTGACAGCGTTCTCTTTTGTCCGGGCAACCCTCATGACTGCTCAACAAAGAATTATAGCAGTTTGCAGGGGTAATTATGTTAGCATGACCTACGGGCTCGCAGATCAAGTAAATGTTTGGAACGAGTTATAAAGGAAGTGGCTGTGAGGTTGTTTAGGCAAACTAGTCTTTAAGAAGGCCAGAGTGGCTGTAAAAGATCGGGTTCTGCATCATTATATGTCCTTATATGGCATTAAAGTCCAAAAATACTCTTTGGTTTCATGTTGGGAATTCTGTAAGCTCTTTTTTTTATTCTTTAACTGTGGAGACTCGAGTTTTCTGGATGTTACTAAAATATCTTGTGAACCACTGGTTGAGTTTAAATGATTTATGGAAATCATTTTTGTATTTACGTCTACAAGTCCTTTGACTTTTGAAGCTTTTGAAGATGGCTGCCCCAGCCAGCTGACCTTAAAAACACAAAGGTAGCTTTAAGTCAATTAGTTTTGCAGTGATTGAGCTCAACATTTGCTGGGGGTAGTAGCAGGGTCATGCATGACACATGCTCTGAGTGTGACATCTTGTAAAGTTGCAGAACACTGAGCATAATATTTTCATGGTTTGAGCAGAACTTATTTGCATTCCTTCAAAAGTTGCAAAGTCTTCAGTTGTACGCCCCTTGAAGGCGGTACGTATTACGATAGATCCTCTTTACATCTGTAAACTTTCTCGTATCCCGCCCACACCTTCTGATCTGCATAAGATAATCTAGCAAACCTGCTTACACAAATGTATCATCACTACACAGTGTCACATACACCTTTTTTCATTCCAGCTCCAAGGTTGAGGTCACAAATCAAGGTCAAATGTTATACAAAGTATTTGATTGTCTGGGCCATTGCTATAAATGTATTCAGTGCTTAATTTGTCAATCAAATGATGCTGGAAAGTAAATGACTGTGGGGGAGGGGAGTCTGGAGGTTCTCCCCCAGAAAATTTTGAATAAAGTAGATGCCATTACCTGCATTTTGGTGTATTTTAACAGGTGGTTAAACATCTACGTTTACTACTAAGTCTCTCTCCTTGTGTGAGTTGAGCACGCTCTCAAGCATCCCCCACCACTCGCGTCGAGCATTATCTCCATTGCCACTGCCTTCATGTGCTTCAGTTCTCGGCTGTTTAGTTAGTTGTACTACGAGAAGACTTAAAAAATGAAAGTAAATTGGACAATCTTTGAGACATTTTCACCGCTGTTATTTTGACAAATTGGCGCCGTTGTTTTGATATGTGACATTTGTTACGTGATAACCCATCAAACATTTCTCGTTTTTAATAAATAATCAAAATGTTATTAGTGGCCCACTTAAACTGTAAAGCCGATTTGCAATTCAGTTGTGCTGTTCAAATATATTTTTGCGTTTTTAATTAAATTGCCCGTGACTGGCGGAGATTTTTTTTAAGGGTAGAAGCAGAAATGCTTACTTGAAGGGGCAGCTCTGATGTGATATTAGGAAGCTTGTAAGTGACTGTTATGTTTAAATTGAGTGTTTAAGTAATTATTTTCAGTGTACATATCCAGTATAAGTTTTAGTTGTTCAAGGCAGTCAAATTTGTTCACAACTATATTATTAATTCCTGAGAGTTACCGGGTTCAAGCAAACAGTTATTGGAGCTCACCCTATCAAAATAAGAAAGCTTCCAGATCCTGTTCTGGCAGGATCCATCTCAAATTAAGCCCTGGTTCTATTGCTGTATAATAGTTTGTAGACGGGCGTATAATGAGCACTACTCTTAATTTGGATGTGGAGCAATGTCCTGACAATCATCTGTCATCGCAGGCTTTGGAATGGTGACTCCAGTCAATGATCTGTACAGCACTGAGACTCCCTCCTTCGCCAAAGGGGAGAAGCAGAGTCGCTGCAAGCTGGCCACCCTCTACAGGCTCGTTGACCTCTTCAGCTGGGCTCATTTTACAAGCTCCTACATCACTGTGAGTACAGCGCTGCGGTCACGCTCCACTGCACACCTGCTTACTTATGCAGCACAAGGTTTGTGTTGCTTCAATAAAGCTTTGCGTGTCTTTGTTTTCAATGGATTCTAGAGGAATGCCTCCTCCATTTCATTTCAGCAGCCATAAATTAGAAATAAGGTTAGATTAGATAGAGGGTTGGATTAGTAACATCTGATGAACATTAACGTTTCATTCAAACAACAGAAAGAGCTTTTCTCTGCTTCCGAAAGCTGCTAACCCAACTTACAGTAAATTCTTTGCCTGTTGAGTAATTTCTTAACAGGTGTTTAAAATCCTGAACTTACTCAAGCGGGTAATTTTATTTTTGTTTTAATAAGGGGATTAATCTATGTCTTTGTTGTGTTTTAGGTGCGTGTCAGTAAAGAGCAGGATCATGTTCTTATCAGTCCACAAGGTCTCTCGTTTGCTGAGGTGACAGCAGCAAATCTGGTAAGAACAAAGATCGTGTGACACATTCAGTGCTCTTTGGTGTTTTACTTACTGGTGTTGTGGCTTTTTTCCCCCTTTATCGTTTAATTGGAAAAGACCGTCGCACCAATAGAACAATGTTTTGATATCAGCCTCCAAAAATTTAATCACACATGTTAATTATTGCCATATTTCTAAATCAGTCTAACCGTAGATGTTACGAGACTTAAAATCATTTGCTTATTTCTAACACAAACTTCATTTTCTCTCTAGTTATATTTAGTTTTTATGTCTGTGATACAGAAAACAAAAAAAGCAACCCTTTATGGCTCAAATCTTCATTGTTTTCTTTGTTTTGCTTTAGTTAGAACCTGCAACAACAATGTAAATAAAAAACTGTTTACCAGCTGTAATTAGAAAGAAAGTTACTGTTTTGGTCAGAATTGGACTTGCAGTGAATTTCAAGTCAAATCTTCTTGTTTAGAGTGTAATCATTGTAGAGCGTACAACTTGAAATTTTTAAAAAAACAACATTTGGGTGCACACGATTATTGTGGATTTATTTCTAATCCTTACTAGTTCAAAATTGTACATACATGTGAAAATACACGACCACAAATATCTGGTTAAATGTCTCTTAGAACCTCAACGTTTGGCTTTATGAACTCATCTTCAAGAATTTGGGGTAATTCTGGATGGATATTTAGCCAGTCTTTTTGGTGGAATCGGTAGACTTGATTTCATTTTGTTAATTTCCTGGCATGGAGTTGTTTTTTTAATCATAGTCAACAAATTGTCAATACCTAATACAATATACAGTAGTTCCTCGTTTATCGCAGGGATTTCCGTTCTGTGTCCCCCAGCGATAAGTAAAGGTGGTTTAAACTCTTCCCACACTCTTACAATATTCTAAACAATGTTTCTAATTCTAAACAATGTTTCTAAACTCTAAATGCTATTAAAGACCACATCTGCTGCAGAGCAGAGATCATTACATGCTGCAGGAGGGAGCTTCTCTCTGCACATGTGGGCTGCACACAGTTGCAACAGGTGCTAAATATATATATTTTTAAATTAAAAAATCCATGCCGATCTTGCGGTTCATCCATCAATCACCCAATTGTGTGTCATGTCTATTCTTACTTTGAAAAAGCGCAAAAGAGCGGCGAGTCCGCGAAAGTCGAACCACGACGTAGCGAGGGACTAGTGTATTGCCTAATGTTTACCTGCTTTATTCATTCAGAAAACAGTTTTTATGTGTGTTTGAGCTCATTGTCGTGTTGCAATGCCTAAATGTGTCCAAATCTCCATCTTTTGTTAATCCAAGCTGAAGTTGAAGACTTCAGGGGCTGCATGACAGCTCAGTGGTTAGCACTGTTGCTTCACAGGAAGAAGATCCAGGTTCAGTCCCAGGTTTGGACCTGGGCTTTTTCTGTGTGGAGTTTCATGTTCTCTCCGTGCATGCGTGGGTTTTCTCCGGGTACTCCGGTTTCCTCCCACAGTCCAAAAACACGCACGTTAGGCTGGCTTCAGTCCCAGGCCTCCCTTGCATAAGAGATCTGTGATTTCAGCCACCTAGTTTGTTCAAGGCTACAGTCCCACATCATGATGCTACTTCCACCATGCTCGACAAATGGTACAATAAAGTTGATACGACTGTTTATAACAGGGACAAAACCTAATTTTTTGCTGTATGTTCTCGGCTCATTTTATCAATCTTTGCCATAAAAGGCTAAGCTTTGTTGAAATTCTGTTTTTTAATGGTAACTTCAATTAAATTTTATTGCAGCCATTATGAACTCAAATGGGTCAAGTTTTGGCTCAGCCTCTGATTTATTTCCTAATATACTTTATGTATCCATATTCTGCATTTTACTCTGCAATGTGTGTTAAGTAAGGATAATAGGATAGAGCTATTACTAGGTTGTAAGGTTGTCATATTTTCTTACATTACTTGCAATTTGTTCTGGCAATGAGACTTTTTTTCTGTCTCAGTTGCACTTTAGGTGGTTATATTTATTATTCTAACATTTCTTTCACATTCTGTATTTTGGAGCGTTCGGGACTGCAGAAGGTATCTTCTCTTCCAGGTCCTTGTATTGTGTACAGAAAGTAGTTTTGCTTTGACCTTCAGTATACGTGCGTGTTCTTTAAAAAAGTCGACTTTGAAGCAGCAAATCTTACAAATCTCTGTTCTTTTATGTTTTAATGCTGCCAGTGCAAAGGTGTAATTTACCTTTTTGTAATAACTCCAAAAAGTGTCTGAAATGTATATAAAATAAATAAAATTCTATAGTATATATCTTATGACTAATCGTCTGAATAGGAAATATGGATATTGTGTTTAAACTGTTCAGCATTTTTTTTTTCACTCAGTTGTTCACAAACCTGATATTTTCTGTCCACATTTACTCCTCAAGCACTCAGCCTTTTGTGCACACAGATTTAATAACAAACTGTGTTTGCCAGTTAAAATCATGTCTTCATAGTTCTCCTGACAACTCTTTTATTTGGAACGTTCTACTTAAAATACAATAATTAAATGAAACATTCAAGACAAGAAATATTCTTTGCTGGTCTATTCAACGTTATGTGAAAAACATGACCGAGTTTTCTTTAATATAAATTTATTTAGAAAAGACATTGCATTTATTATTTAAAAATCATCTTGAACACATTGACTCTTGGTTCAAGTGCATCTAATATGACAGATCTGTTTGTAATGATGCAGGGTTCCAGTGGGCATGGCATAAATGTTATCACTAGTGTGTGTCCGCAAGCCTTTTTGCAGGTAACTGTGACCCGTGGGACCACGCATGGGCTGCGTACCTCTCTGTAGCGAACACTGATTTACTGGAATGCAGTTCCTCCTCTGGACACTTTATTCAGATGTTCCCACAGGTAGCCAACGCTGCCTGCAGACATCTGGCCTTTGCAGGTTCTCTAACCCAATGGTTCCCAACCCTGGTCCTTGAGGAACACCATTTTGCATGTTTTACTTGTTTCTCTGCTTTGACACATCTGATTTAAGTGAATGGGTGATTAACAGGCTTCTGCAGAACACAAGGAAGTAATTAAATCACTTAATCAGATGTGTTGGAGCAGTAAAACAACTTAAAACATGCAGGATGGGGTTCCTCAAGGACCTGGGTTTGGGAACCACTGCTTTAACAAGTAACATGGTTGGAGTTGAGCTAAATAAGGAAGAAGTCAAACTCCATGAAAAGAAATGGATTTACTGGTTGAATATTTTGAGAAGTGTCACAAAACAGATATTATGTAGAGTTCACATAAAATATTAAATATTGAGTGTTTCCTTATTTTTTATATGTTTTAGCCATGTTCTTTATATGTGGTGAAGCTCTAATAAGTGTCACAACACATGGCTTATTTATTAAAACATTATTTCATCAAGCCCACTAAAGTTTTTGTGATGTTTATGGAAAATGCTGCTTGTTCACTAAACTTTTTAATGCTTACTGTGCATGCAGTTGTAACTAGCAGAGACATTTGTTTCTGTGTAATTACTTTATGTCTAAATGGGTTTAATCAATGCCCAGAACCCGTCCCATCTGAGGTCACGCATGCACCCATACATTCAACATTTTGACAACGTATTGACATTTCTGCAGCCCATGTGCTCCTCGAGGAGTTATTAGGAATAACCAAATATTGATATTTTCTATCATTCATCATGTTTGAGTTGTTCTGTCACTAACGCTAGTGATTATTAAATGAGGATCTTTGTCAAATTAAAAATAATAATAATAAATGACCACCTGGTCTTAAAATAGCAGTCAGCTGATAAGCCAGCAGCTGGCAGTATGGAATGCTCTGCAGCCCTGTGGATCAGTGGATTTATTTAACTTCCTGTTTGTTTTGCACGTGGTTGCACATCTTTACTCACATGATGGGATACAAACCGTCTGGAAAACTCAAAAACATAATGTCTATAAGAAAATAAGAAAAAAAAATATCTTTGCCAAATGTTTTATAGATGTAAACATGATCAACCTGCAGGGTGTTTTGGCCTTGGTGTGTGTATAAAATTATTAACTAAATCATATTTTTGATTAGAAACAAAGGCTGTGTTCATTTATTTTAGTCGTATCTGTGTGGTTGAGTAAGAGTGGTCATTTTTATTCGAACTACCAAACTTTTAACACAAAACTCTTACTGGCAACTGTCACAACTCTAACTATGTTGTCTTCCCCCACATGCAGGTGAAAGTAAACATAATTGGCAATGTTGTGGACCAGGGTTCTACTGAACTGGGCATCGACCATTTTGGATTTGCTCCTCATGCTGCCATTTACTCGATGCGCCCCGATGTGAGATGTATCATCCATATACACACCCCAGCTACAGCTGCTGTACGTACGCTCCAGTTCTAAGTCTGTTAAATTAAATATAACATTCCTTGAAGAAAATGCATATCGCTTACCGCCTTGCGTGCCAGACTTTCCAATAAAGATTTTATGTGATCTGTTAGTGCTTGGAGTAGGTGATGGGGGTGACTCTCGGCTACTATAACACTAAATTTTATCTCAACATCTGGAAAAATTAACTGTTGTAGCCCCTTTTTTCATAAGGTTGATAAACCGTGGTTGCTGTTTTGAATGGGTTTAATCCAGAAGTTATTCAGTTGTAGTTTTATAGCCATCAATTATTTTTGGAGAATTTCATTCAAACGTTACTTCTGGTTTATGAGATATTTTACTAACAGGTAAACAAGCAAACAGCTGTGTGAACAATTGCATGATCCTCTTTTGTCTTTCATGGCGACGGGTAATAATGACATTCAGTTTAACATAGGAGCTGCTGCAGAGGAGGATGATCAAATTAAAGGCGGCTTCCTGCATGCCTGTTTGTTACAAACACAAACACATATTTTTCCATCCCTTTGGAAGATAAGCTGTAAAATGTGCATGAGCATCACTGCGTAGCCGTATCTTTATTTGTGCCCAGGAGCAAAGAAAAACTGTGCTTCTGTTAAAGTTCTGGTGCATCACAGTCTCAGTTGTTTTTATCCCACGCTAACAGGTGTCCTCCATGAAATGTGGAATCCTGCCCATTTCCCAGGAGGCTTTGCTTCTGGGAGACGTGAGCTGCTTTGGTTACCATGGCAGCCTGGATAATAAAGAGGAGAAGGTGGAGTTTCAGAAAGCACTGGGCCCGACTGCCAAGGTACCGTCAACACTCCATTAATAGCATGCTTGCTGTCACATGAAAAACGTATATCTAGTTAGCTTTATGAGGCTGCCGGTGGACAGATTTAGCTGCTGAAAGAATCACAATCACTGATTGAACTTTGAAAGCTCCTAATTTAGCCTTTTTTTTTTGGACAGTAGGAGGATGAGGTGTGTGATTTGACAACCTTGGAAATAAAATATCTCCAAAATTGCAGTTATCATATTCCCACACGTAGCTGTCTTTTTAAGTTTCTTCCATACATTTTTTTTTTCACTCAAACTGCTTCTGCAGTTTTGAACCATTAATGTGTCAGTATGTTCAAAAACAAGTAAACCACATGAGACAAAGACGTCTTGAAAGTGAGAATCAGGTGCTCTCTCCTATGTTAACACAGATTCTGTGTTCAAACTTTATGTAATTAGCTGAAGGAAATGTAGTGTATGTCAGTGTTAATCTGTCATAAACTCTGGATGATTGGGTTAAAGTAAAACTCAGTGATGAGTTACCGTATTTTCCAGGCTATACATCGCTCCGGAGTATAGATGGCATCAGTCAAAAAAATGCATCATGACGAGGAAAAAAAAACATACAGTATATAAGTCTCTTCGGAGTATAAGTCGCGTTTATTATGCGTCACTGCTGACCCCTTACGATAGGTGTCATGCCAAAAATCGATTGGCGGCTGCAGGAGAGCACTCGGGAGGACTCGAAATTGCAGTTCGAAACTTAACAAGATTAACACCAAAAAAACTATTATTTGTTTGCACCGGTCGGCAGCCATTTCGGGTGCGAGGTGGACCCATCCCTTCGCCGCTGAAGCAGGGAGGAGGAAGTGCGCAGCGAGGCACTTTGTCCGTGGCCCCGGGAAGCGGTGAGGTGCGAGCAGTGTGAAGCTGTAGAGCTTGTGGCCAGAGCAACGAGCCACCTTCATCCCTGTAGTATATAGTGCCGCTTACTAATACATGAATGGGTTGTGATCTGTGGTGGTGGAGTGATATGTAATGTGATGAGACCGGGAACGGTGCTGATGTTATGATGCTAAGGTGTTCTGAAGACGATGCTTAATAAATACAGTTCATGATGCGTCCGTCTTCTTGTAGTGAAAGGAGTAAGTCAACATATATCACAGTCCCCCAGACCCTTCCAGGCCGACCCAGAGCTGGTCACAGCACACCGCTGCAGAGGAAATGTGCCCGGCGCGAGCCATCCAGACACAGGGAGAAGGTCCCCCGCGAGAGGGAACCCTCCACCGCTGAGCGGCCGTCCCTTCCGCCCGTTTGAATCCCCCAGGCAGACTGCGCAGACCCCACACGTTTACAAATTTTCTTTCTGCTGCTCGATGACCGTTTTGGGCTGCATATTTTATTACTGTGCAATCTGTAGGTAATAAAATATGCAGCCCAAAATGATAATCGTTAGGCTTCTTGATCTGGAACCTGAGTCTGAATTTCATACCACAAACATGCAAATGTGATCTGGTATGACATTTAAAAAAATCCTTGAAGAGCATTTTCTTTTCTTTTCTCAGTTGTCTCTATAAGTTAATGTTTTGTTTTTTGTAGCAGTAGAGGAACAACATATAGTTGCCAAAAGCCTACGGTATCCCTGTAGTGGATGCAAATGGTAATGTTTACACTTTGGTTCATGTCAGTATGAATGAACGTTTAACGCGTCAGTCAAAAATTGCATTATGAATAAGGAAGAAAAAAACTGTAGTTGCTTCGGACTTTATGTCGCAGGATCGGCCAAACTATGAAAAAAAGAGCGACTTATAGTCCGGAAAATACGGTAATAGTCTGCACTGAAAACAGATAAATTTTTCTTCAAGACAAAATCTTCAGCTTTAGCTGTTCGTCTGAAGAAACTAACATTATCACGGCATCATGAAAAAACAATCAGGGCAAGTGACAGTTATTACCTAATATGCTCTGCAACTAGTGTTTGTCATGAGAATATATATTGGTCTTCAAACCTTTCCTAACTCATGACCACAAAAAGTCTTACCATCTCAATTCAAATATCTACGGCAAAAATTAGAAAATAAAAAGTTTATGACACCAGAACTGATTCTTCCTGCAGCTCTCCAACACATCCATTTTGTTCAGGACAACAAAAACTCACACGTGCACAACCTTCTCACCATCTCTGAGCAGCTTTACTTCTACTGATGTGCATTTTATGTCATCTATTGTTGGAGTTTCTTTTTAAAGAGGCAGTCCTCTTTTCATTGTGTTGCTGTCCAGCCTGTTGTGAATGCTTGAGTAGACATTTTACATCAATTTCTACAACAACAACAAAACAAGTTTCGCCACATCTGAACTGAAGGCAAGAATCTGTCGAGCAACCAATATGAGTGACGTGTTTTGTTCTAAGAGGCTGAACACAGTTAAGAAGAAATTAAGTTTAAAAAAATCAGATTATTTTATTTATATTCTAGTGAGTACAGTGATATGGAAGTTTGCCTAAACTGTCCATCAGGTAAATTATTTCACCTTTCTTTAATCTTCTACAAACGTCTCAATTACCAAGGTAAGTCCATCCATAATCATTAGACTTCTATTTGTGTCTTTATCGATATTGAATCCACACAAAAGGATCAAAAAATGCACATATTTTAAACTGGGTACAAAAGATAAGGACATTTTTGTTGAGTTAATCATTTCTTGTAACAGTTCTTCTTGGCAAATTCTTTGTTTTTGGAAAGTCTGTTTATTTCCTGTAAATGGTGCCAAGTTTTAAAGAAAAATGTGTTTGTGGGTTGAGCAGCAGAGTTGACTGTGCGGGTTGCGTTCGTGAAAAACTTGCCAAATCTTCCTTTAAAATACCAAACAACTTATTCTGCCATTGGCTATTGTTTGGGTGGTGGTGGATGTTTGGGTGCTGTGGGATGGCATCCCATTATTTAACCAGCATTTGTCATAAATCAATCATTGTGGTTTTGCTGGCCCAAGCTGATCCCACAGGTGAGGCTGAAGGCCGTTCCATCCTCCCAACTCTGTCTGATAAACCCCACTCTGCAGGGAGAGCCTTGTCATCTTAGGGGATAGAGTTCAGTCTCAGACTATAGAGAGAAGTGATTACTGGTTGACTGTCAGCTCCCGAAACACCAAAAGGACGCTCAAAACGAGTCATTATCAGAATAAGATGTGTGGCATGTTAATTTCCAGTACACCCCAGCACCTTTTCAGTTTGCTTGCCACACACCATTAACCAAAAGAAGAAGAAGCTGTTCAACACCAAAAGAGAAGATATGAGGAGTGAGATATTGTGGAGTGGTGGCGCAGAGGTTAGAGAGGTGGGCTTGTGATCTGAAGATCGCCGGTTCACGCCCCGGCCCCGACAACATAAAAAATTATGGGTGGGGTAGGTGAAACACCCACACTTGCCCCCACCCTCATTCGCCCCACTCTGGGCCCATGAGCAAGGCCCTTAACCCCCACCATGTGCTCCCTAAAAAAAAAACAGGTCTCTCTTGAAAATGAGTTCTCGTGGCTCAATGAGACTAACCTGGATAAATAAAGGCTAAATGAAAAAAAAAAAAAGACAAGTTTTTCACAGACACAACCCACAGTCGTCTCTGCCTCTCAACCAACAATGTATTTTTTCAACAAGCGTCATGCTCATTCAATTTGCACTACTGTTTACATTTGCACTACTGTTAATATTCAAACTACTGTTCATATTCAAACTACTGTTCATATTCATACTACTGTTCATATTCAAACTACTGTTCATATTCAAACTACTGTTTATATTCATACTACTGTTCATATTCATACTACTGTTTA